TAGTTATTTTAGTTTAATTACTTACTTACTTTACTTTACCTTTAACTTAAACTAAAACTTAAAAACGTAAAAACGAAAACGGAAGACGACGACTCTCTCTCTCTCTCTCTCTCTCTCTCTCTCTCTCTCTCTCTCTCTCTCTGATATTTCATCCAAGAAGTTGCAAAATGGCTTTGTCGATCTCATCTATTTCTCTTTATCTCTCCCTCTTGATAAAAAAAAGTATTTTTACTATTTTTCATAAAAGATGAAGTTAAAAGATGGATTAACAAAAAATATGAGTACTATCATATTGGGCAAATTGATATTTTAGTTCATCCACACTTTAACTACAATTTAAAAGCAGAATATTTGGTTTCTTTACTAGATGTTAGACATATTTCTTGGGATAAAGCTTTACTTTGTCAATTTAGAGGATTTTTAGATAATGATGGAATGAGTTTTGTATAGCCTAATTTTTCTTTTTGTTTGAATGATGAGTTTATGTCAAAAGCTTTTCTTATATGTATAGAAATTAAAGGCATAGATTTATTACAATGATCAATATATGCTATTGTAGGGTCTAGGTGTATTTTTCATTTACCAAATAGTGTTGTCACTTGTTCTAAATTAGATTATGGAAGTCATTTTTCTAAATATCCAAGTTATGTAAATGAATTCGAAGTTTTTGTAAATACTGATGGTTTTATTAGTGGTTTTCTTGCTATCTCTGAATATTTAGAGTCCAAACAATTTTCAAAAAGAAACAGATTTTAAACTATTTTCAAGAAACCCTCATAAATCTGATATTCGGTTCTCTACAATTTTTTTGGTTTCTCCAAAACTCTTCCATTGTATAGAAACCTCTTCATCTTCTCTTCCACCTATACTACCTACTGTTCATCCAAATCCTCCAGTAAAACCCATTACCGATTGACCAAATGGAAGTTCAACCCAAACCAAAATATTCATAATAGTAAAAGTGGAGTATGATAATGAGGAAAATCTAGTAGTAGATGGAGAATGGCCTCCAAAAATGGCATACTTCACAACTACCCCTGATCAGCTTGAATTAGAGGCCCCATATTTTAAAAGCTGATGTCAGTTATTTGCTGCTGCATAATATGGATTCTCAAAGGGCTCCAACAGATGAAGTCCAACAATTAAATTATTTAATTCATTGGACATCTTTTGCTGAAAAATATATATTTTCCATAGAGAATCAATTGAAGGAGATACAGAAAAATCTTGAATGTCTAGCAAAAGTTAAGCAGCACAAAGACCAAGAATCTCAAAAAGGAAAAGAAAAGATACTTAGTGTTCATGATGAACACTTAAAACTATTTGAAAACAAAGAAGCCTATAAGAAAAAGAAAGCTGAAGGAGCTTGATCCCTTTTTCTTCCTACAAAAGATAATCAACTTTTGAGTAATTCAATGGGGAAGACAGGCCCCTACCTATTTTTTCAAGTAGATTAGGAGTTAGTTTTTTTAAGTTGTTAGTGAGTGATGTTAGTGGTGGGAATGGAAACCACAATGTCGTGAGTAGGATGTGGGGTGCTACCACCACGACCCCAGCCCCTTCACGCCAAAAGATAATCAATTAATGAATGAAGAAGGCGATGAGATTTTCAAATTTCCTTCTCAGATAAAAATGTTTAGAGCTTCAGGGAATGGTGGAATTATAAACATAGGAATTGATATTCCTTTGTTAAACATTAACAGGCTAAGCAATTTTAAAGTTGAGCAAAACATTGTAGCCTGGGTAAATAAATATACTATGATTCAGGAACTCAGAAGTGGGGCTAATGATGATGCTGTAAACCGTATATTGGTTGCTTGGTTTAACAGAAGATGAGAAAAATTTCATCAGGTATAGTGGATTAAATGAGCTCAAAGAGAAAGTTTATACTGAATTTGTGGCCACCCATCCAAGCCAAACTGCATTAGATTTAGTAAGTAACTTGTAATGGTGCTCCATAGAACCAGAAATTATAGCCTGGCTCATAAGGAAAGAAGTACTTGATGGCTTGTTGTTCATAAGGAGACCATTATGTCCTAGTACAGATTCCAGGGATTTTCTTAATAAATTATTAGGATATACTGTGGAAGAATATTTTAAAATTTGTTTCCAAAGAATAAATTTCACAAAATCAGGAGTGGTTAGAAGGTATAGTGATGAATATTTGTGTGATGAAGAATTCATTGAAAAATGACCTTCTTCAAGTGAATTATTAGTAGCATTGCAAAAAGAAATACAAAAATGTGTGGCTTGCCAAAAAAAGATGAAAGGATTTTGTCCAAATCATCGACAAGAATATATGCGATGTAAAGGTGTTAACGTTTATTTACTTTTTCTTTGATAGGATGTAAAATAGGATTTGATGTATCTTCCTTTTCCTTTTTTTTTCTTTTTTTTTTTAAGAAATGTTATGCCTCCTGATGGATTAAATAGATCAGATGTACTATCTTTTTATTATCAGTATGACGTATGATATGGTCACTAGGAATGGAAAACTATCACTAACCATAAAAAAATTATAAAATAAAGTTGCTTTCATGATGCAGGGAATCAGAGTGCAGGTGAGGAGCGTGTACATAGAAAGGCGTAGCCAACCTTCAAAAAGCCAATATTTTTTTGCTTACCGAATACGAATTACAAATAATTCAAATCGCCCTGTCCAACTTCTCAGACGACATTGGATAATCACAGATGCTAGTGGAAGGACAGAGCATATATGGTTAATACCCATTCCCTCTAGTGTTGATAATCATCGTATTCGTGTCTTTCAAACCATATTAAAATTTTAAACCTGCATTTTTTTAACTTCTAGATTATTTGAAACGTTCATAATTAGCAATTACTTGCAGTATCAGTCGAACTGCTTCTTAATCTTCATAGGATGATGTTTCCCAGATTTATTGCGATCAATCAACTTTAAAGTTGGATATTTATAGAAAATGTCTAAAGATAATAGGGGACCAATGAAATGTGCGGGATTAAATTAATTTCAAAAAAACTTACATAATGGAGATAACAGGGGACCGATGAAATGTGCGAAATTAAATTAATTTAAAAAAGGCTTATATAATGGAGAACTACTTTTTTCATTCTAAGAATGAACAGATTGTCCAACTTTTCAAATGCCCAATCGAGATAGAAACTCGGTTCCTAGTTCCAAAAATAATCACTTTTATCAAACAAATACAAAAACAAAAACAAAACTTTATCTTCCTTTAAATCTAATTTGTTAAATATGATGTCCTAATGTTGTTATCGAAGGTGTAGCAAAAAAAGAAAAATATCCTTATGGATCTAGGGGACAAGTAAAACAGTTCCGTTAACTGTATTGTGGAAATCATGGGGCTATACATATAATAAGCCTAATCTTGAAACATTCATTTTTATGATATTGGTTAGTTATTATGTTGGTCATCCCACTATAAACTAGGATTGGTTTTCATTCCTCAGGATCTCAGTGCTGATTCTCTCTCTCTCTCTCCTCTTCTTTCTTCTCTTCTCTCTCTCTCTCTCTCTCTCTACTACGTCTCGTCGTCGTCTGTACGTCGTACGTCGTACGTACGTACGTACGTACGTAC